CAAAAAGGTTACCTACCAGTTTCTCATTCTATCTATCTATCTATCTATCTATCTATCTATCTATCTATCTATCTATCTATCTATCTCAAACATCCAGAGCTCTTGCACCACTTGTATTCAGGCACAGAAACACTTGTTTGTTAAATATTCCATCACACCCCAGTGCCAGGAACATCAATAGAGAGTGCCTGATTAACTGTAGTACGGCATATGCATGCTGAAGTGGATGATTTCCCCGAGGAACCCGCACTCCCTTTGTTGAGCTATGTTTCTTAGGAGGTTGTGCAGATGGGCATTTGGACAATCATTTCTGGATGCACAGAATGGATTGCTCTTGCTGAGCTGTAATTTTGAAAGGATAATTTTAATGACTCTTGAGGGCCACTGACTTAGAGCAGATGGGACCCAGGCTCTTTGAATCACAACTTTCATGTTGAGTGAATCAGGACAGAACTCATTCTTGCCTTTGTAAAAACTGGATCATCATATTTACCTAAAGAAAAGACATCTATAACATTCTTACAAAGCCTGCAATAAAACACATCTGCAATATTGCAGGCTCATCTTTGATGGCAATCTTGAATTGCAATCTGGTGAGTGGAAGTTTTTATTTTGACCAACAGGGCTGGCTAACAGCTGAGATAGTATAGAACTTATGTTGTTTCATGAGAACAAGACTGGCTATTCCATGTATCTTAAATGCCTTTGGAGCAACTATCTCCAAAAAGGATTTCTGCTTCTTCACTGTTACAGGAATCATCCAAGTTTTGGTTTCTCAGGATGACAAAGAAAAGTGACAACAGTGTGTTAGCCTTCAATTCACTCACTTGTAAGGAAACTGAAATGCAATGTCTTAGCAAGCACCAGGCTCCACCATGTCTGACACTGGGTGAACAAATCATCTCTGTTATAGTACTGTAATTCTGTGGTGAGGCAATGACTGCACGGGATGGGAAAGTATAAGCATATGAATATTTTAAGAAGTTATAAGGTTTCCATAATTGTTCAAAACAAATCACATTTGATATTGAAGAGTTCTTACAGAAAGTCCTGTCCAAAATCAAACACAAATCTCCAAAACATGAAGCTTCTACAAAAATGGCAGAATGTTGGGTTTTAATTAGAGGAGTAATTTATGCCTTCATCACCACCTGTACAACGATGCACAGCCTAGCAGAGCAGACCAGGGGGCCTGTGGCTTTTTCAGTAGTGCCTTAGTGGGCAATAATAAAGACATACTGAAATAAATAGGCCAAAAGGGTTATTCACACAGAATAAATGTTAGATTTATCTGGCATGTCATTCTCGAGAGTACATTACATTGTAATTCATAAAATACAGGAATAAAATGTGAGGCAATATATTTAAAAAGTCCTTCCATTTTCCTAATGCATATATTGAGATTTAAAAGTTTTCAAAGACTTTACAGAAATATAAAATGTCACATGCAGGTCAAACATACTTCCCACTATATGTATACAGATATGTGAAAGAGCTAATCAAAGGAAAGAAGAGGTGGATAACCCTATAATACATTCTATTAGGAGAAAGCACAAAGCAAAATAGCTAAATTACTGAATGTAAAAAACACTTAAGAGTAACAATAGCAGGAAAGAAGAAATGCAGGTATTTAACATGTCTGTTTACACAATTGTCCCTTGCTGGCTTCCATACACCAGATGGAAAGAAGCTATGGAAGCTTTTCCCCCCTGATCACAATGTGGCAGACAGGCAGTCTACATTAATTTATATCCCAGATGGATATCATGGGGATCCAATGTTATAATATGAATTGTTGTAGAAGATGAGTATGTATATTTGAAACCATCTCCTTTAGTATGTGCTAGATAGCCTCAGTTGGTGGGAAGTGACAGTACTAGATCCAGATAAAATTAACTTAAGGGAATAATGAAACATTAATTTAAAGCTAGTTCAAGTTGCAAACCAGGTGCATCTACCAGCCACGCTGGGAATAATGACAAGATGCCAAATGGCTTCTTTTAGATGGGACATGATGCAAAGACCTCTGTTTTAATAGCTTTCCTAAGATAATTCATTTTACATGGTAGTTTCAATTTTATAGCTTGTCATGAAATATGTTTCTATAATGTGCTTTTCAAATAAAAGGTACAACTTCAAAATTAATTGAGCACCAGCTATTACTATATATGACAGCCCGGGGAATAAAATACACACCAAGCAGAGTGCAGAGAATATCTTAAAAGTCATTGTGCTGAGGCTCACACAGTGAGCTCAGATGTGAACTAATGAGGGTAATAGCACCTTACACCATGAAGACAATGTCTCCCTAGAGCCTTATTTGGAGGAGTCTTTACTACAGGCTGCACTTTCCGTCTATCAAACAGCATAGTTTCTACCTGCTTTATATGTTACTGAATTTAAACTTCCTCTTTAAATATCACTCGTCAAGCATTATAGAAAGTCTTTTAATCACCGAGTATAAGTTTCAAGTATAATAAAAAGTAGAATTGTTGTTAGTTTGTACAATAAAATATGAATGTTTTCCTTAACTATAATTATGTTATTCTAAGGATGTAACATCCCAAAACAATGTAACTAGCATTAAGTATGCAACAATTACCTGAACTAACATTTATTCAAACTTGGAGATGCAAATAAAATAAATTCTAAAAGTATAACTCAATTTCCCATGGCTTATAAATCAGTAAATACAAAAAGTTATCCTGCAAGAAAGTATATGAGACTCCTCCCCCATCCCCATTCCAGTGATGTGGGATGTCCTTCTGTATAAATGTTTCTCTTATTGGCTGATGAATGAAACACTGATTGGCCAGTAGCCAGGCAGGAAGTATAGACAGGGCTACCAGACGAGGAGAATTCTGGGGAGAGGAGGCAAAGAGAAGCCATGGCAGCAGACACCATGTAGCTGCTGAGGGAACAAGATTCTCCAGTAAATAAGGCCACATGGAAATACTTAGATTTATAGAAATGGGTTAATAGAGAGCTAGCCAATAAGAAGCCTAAGCCTTCAGCCAGAGTTTAATAATCAATATAAGTCTCTGTGTGTTTATTTGGGGCTAAATGGCTGTGGGATGGGGCAGAACAGAAACTCCAGCTATACCGCAGCAAACAACCAAACCAAAAAAAAAAAAAAAAAAGGAAACAGATTTTGTAATTACACTTATGTAAACGAATATAGTTCAGCTTTTTATTTTTAAACATTGTAATATCTTGGGTTGTTTTATTAGTGTCTCTGACTCTATAACATGGCGAGGCTTCTGCCCCTGCTCTGTTGGTGCTCTTAGGAGGCTTTGATTCACAGTGAGCCAGGCAGGTGTGAGCACTGAGGTGGTACCACCACAGACTCCAGCCATATGCTACTGGTCACACAGACAGGCATTGCACAGGGTGAGAAGATTGCTTTGCAGTCAGAGTCTGGGGGCAATGCATGACGAATTATTTCTCCATTTGATAGAGTTAACAATACAAACTGAAGGGTATCCGGAGTAGAAGAAATAGAAACAGAAAGTGAACAAGTGGTATCAAATACAAACTACAGAGCTGAAAGTCTTCCTTTCCCCACAAAACGTGATTGCTTGAGACATATACATCATACAGACATAACAGCTAAGTTCCTCATGACATGCTCTTTCCAGGGTAGTCCTCAAAAAACTGCTTTCAGAGAACTGCTATTTCTCATCTGTCTGGAAATTTCCACCATTAAAGTAAGTCTTTTGGGTTAGAGAAGAAAGATGGTGCTGTGTGCTCCTTGGAAAGGCCTAAATTTGTCCCTTGTAAGCATGAAATGCTAAGAATAACCTGACCAGTTTCACCAAATAACACATCAGAAGTGATGACACAGGATGGAAACCCTATTAGACAACGAAAAGTCTATTTTATAATTTTTTAACAGCTTAATGACTTAAGGGCAAAAGACATGGGTCTGTCCAACATTTAAAAGTATGGCATGAAATGCTCTATGTTTAGCATCATGTATTACTCCAGCACATGCAGAAGCCAGGATATTATAGAAAAAGGACCCTATACACATTTTGCTAACAAAATTCATTAGAAGATGTAAACCTCATAATTACTGTGAAAGCTCTTAGCAATGCCCCCACACTCTAGGCTGGTACTGCACATAGAGGTGTGGACATATTCTATAACACACTGTACACAGGGCCTGCTGCATAACCTGTTTAGTGAGCTCCAGGGCAGTAACAGACCATGCTTCAGAAGGAAAACAGTGGTGGAAATGATATCCAAGGCCTCCACGTGCACTGTACACAAGTGTATCCAACACACACAAACCACATATGCACACACATAGATGATTAATTTCACAGAGATAAAGTTGTAGTAATTAGTTTTTAAACACATATTTCTAAGCCATATTCAGTTTGGGTTTTAACAAATTTATAAGAAAATATTTTATCAGTGTACTTACAATAAATTTATATTCTAAATAATTCCAGACAGACACCTCCTGTAAGGAGGGTCCCAGTACTAATTTATGATTCATTATCTAAACTTTAATTGGCACAACTCTTGAAATGCTGGGACCATATGGAAAATAATGAGTCCTAATAGGTCTAAGGTGAAGAGATGGCAGGAGAGGAAGGAGCCAGAAAAGTGTCAATCCTGAATGCTTAGCAACCACAGCACAGCTTCCCCAGATACCCTCATCACTGGCTTGTCAGCTTTTCAGTGGTCTTGCTATCATGTACTCAACTATGAATTATTTCTAATTCTGTGAGGCAAAGATTAAAATGAAAGAACACAAACAACTAAAAAATTGGCTTCCATAATTAAACATGAAATTGTCTGTTAATAAGACAAAAATCCAGCAATTTTGAGTCACCATAACAACCCGATGGAACTGTTGACTGACATAGCAATCTGGTGCATTTGTATAAATAGCATCTGATTCCCACTCTTTCACTGCAATTGCTTTGAATGCTTATTGGCACGAATGGGACCCCCTGCTTTAAGCCTATTTTACGCATCAGGTCGTGTACCTCTTGGCTGCTGTCAGTGCCATAAAAATCGTCTTCCAGCTGGGTATCACTCCTTGTCATACCGTTGTCCTCTTCGGGATTCAGAATAAATGGATACCCCTTTGGGGACATGTCATGACTCTTCCCATGAGGTGCTGATCTTGGTCTAGATGAAAAGGTGAAAATGTCCTTGGGAGCCTTCTGGGTTTCCTCTGCCTGGTCAGGCTCACTGTCCTCGCTGGTTTCTAGCCACAGGTGTGAAGAAATGCATGAGTCCCCATCTAGGAGCACAGACTGACTGCCACACGCTGGGCCAGAGGTCAGAGCAGCACTTTCAGGAAATATCCACTCATCTGGTATTGGGGAGAGATGGTAACAATAAGAGCTGTGTTCCATCAAATGTTCATTTAGGTGGTTAGGTTAACATTTCTTTTTGAAACAGAGATTTATCAAATAAAGCAGAAGCCAGGGGAGGTATTTTCCCCACCATCTTGTGTCTTGCTAAACAGTTACCCACAGAACAGTGCCCACAGCCACAGGCAACTCATTTACACTTCCTCTCCATTTGAGTTGAAGCCCTGGCCAGGAAATTTGTAAATCTGAAATAATTATCACCTGTCTTGCAGCAAGTTCTTTATAGCACAACCTCATTAATTTGACATCCAGTGAGGGAAGTTGTCCAAATTTAAAAGGGTTTGAGTTACTAATACATCCCTTTTTTACCGCAGGAAGACAGTACAGCATGGAACAAGCTTTTTTAAACAGACCATCTGGTCATTGTGTGGGTTATATGAATCAAGGAAACCATGGAAGGATGACTGACAGTCTAGTTCTCTGCCTCTTGCTGATTGAAATAATTCACAGATTAAACTGAACAGCCATTGCAAGAAACTCCAAAGCCACAGGAATACTGTTAATCTGAGTGGTGGTTTCTGAAGGTTGATATACTATTTCATATTTAATTTTAGAAGTTTTGATTTAATTTTCTTATTTCTTTTATTTAAAAATTCTGCATATACCTAGGTGTTTTACTCAGTTGTGGAGAAGTTCTCTTTACTTAAATGCTTTCACTTTGTAGGAGGAAAACGCAAACAGGGCCTACTATGTTGAATGAGCCAGGCAGAAAAATGAAGCCAGTGCAGAGGGAAACAGAGCCAAAAAGAGTTCTGATGGCAAACATTGTGCTCCTGGATCCAACTGTACCTGAAGCTAGTGGTAAATCCCCTGGACTTTGCATTTATTTGAACCAATAAATAACCTTATTTGTTGTTGTTGAAGTTAAAAAAAATTCTGCAAATTCCTGGTGAAAGAAATTTTTATCAAATGTTTAAAAAAATCTTTCATTGTTTTATGCCACACTGGAGTAGGTTTTATAGCTATGATCTAGGCAATGTGACAGGACAATGTTTATAGGAAATATTTGCTTCCTTTCCTTATGAAGACTATAGGATAAAGCTCTTTGAATGCACCTTTTCTCTCTGAATTGTTTCAGGGTTGTGGCTTGCACCTGTTCTGACCAGCCCTGATGTGGATGAAGTAAGTTATGCTGGACCTTTTAATCTATTACAGCTATGACCATAATGAAAGTAAGCACAGGACATGTAAGACTTGCCAACTACAAAGCCTGCACTCTAAAAACAAGACCCAGGCGGGGTGTTGGTAGTGCATGCCTTTAGTCCCAGCACTCAGGAGGCAGAGGCAGTAGGATCTCTGTGAGTTCGAGGCCAGCCTGGTCTACAGAGTTCCAGGACAGGTTCCAAAGCAATACAGAGAAACTCTGTCTCAAAAAATCTAATAATAATAATAATAATAATAATAATAATAATAATAATAATAAATATTTAAAAATAAAAATAAAAACAAGACCCAGAAACCTCTTACAAAATGACACTGATGGCACAAATGTTAAATAGTTCCAGCCTGTACTCATCAGTTACTTACCATGGACTTGCCACACAAAATGACTGGGAGGTAAAATTAGTTTATCTCACACCTGCCTAGGGGTACAGGTGGTTTAATTCAAAGTGGACAGCTGAAATTGGATAAAATTACTTTGTGTTTGCAAAAATTTTGGTTAACAGTAAAAAAGATTTTAAATAGGCAAAAGTCACAAATTAATTCAAAACACAGCACACAGTGATCCCAGGCATTTTTGATGGTACTCACCTACGTTGCATGGTGTGGCTTTATTGCAGCTCAATGCTGAACACACACCATACCATCATACCATAACCATACCACAATTCAAATACTATCTGAAACACTTGGATTTGAGACTGCTGTGAATTGTAGTGTTTTTACTTGGCATACAAAGTTGTTTGCTTGTTTTTTTTTTTTTTTTGGTTTTTGTTTTGTTTTTGTTTTGTTTTGTTTTTGAGACAGGGCTTCTCTGTATAGCTCTGGCTGTCCTACAACTAGTTCTGTAGACCAGGCTTGTACTCACAGATTTCTGCCTGCCTCTGCCTCCCGAGTGCTGGGATTAGAGGTTAGAGCCACCACTGTCCAGTTAGTTTTCTGTTCTTGTAGACAAGTAATAGTTTAATTATGTAAAACAAAGATTTCAATTTTCCTACTATCATTCCTCAGTATTAAGTATTAGGTTGGTATTTTTTTGAGTCAAGGTTTCTGTGAATCCCTGAGTGTCCTGAAACTCAGGCTGTAGACCAGGTTGGCCTTGACCTCACAGGAATCTGCCTGCCCCTGACTCCTAAGTGCTGAGATTAAAGGCATATGCCACCATCTCCTGCCCTCTCTCTCCCTGCATCCCCCCCCCTTTTAAAAGACAAAGTCTCTCTATGTGGCCCTGACTGGCCTGGAACCCACTGTGTAGACCAGGTTGAACCATATGTCACAGAGATGCATCTATTTCTGTCTCTGGAGAGCTAGTAATTCTACAGACATGTGCTACCAGGTCTGGCCTCAGAATGTTTACTTTAAGAAATTATTGTTTAACCTGGGCGGTGGTGGAACACACCTTTAATCCCAGCACTAGGGAGGCAGAGGCAGACAGAACCCTGGTAGTTAGTTACAGGACAGGCTCCAAAGCTACAGGGAAACCCTGTCTTGAAAAACAAAATTACTGTTTGAGTTGCTGGCTTGAGTTTAACAATCAGAACAACAGAAATCACTGGATGAAATGTGATTCAGGATTGAGACAGCGTTTCCAGTAATTTATGATACAGCCCTTTCATGCTGTTAGCTGTGACCATGCCGTTTGTAAAGTGCCTTCGCTGTGGAAACAACTGCAATTCCCAGAACTAAAATAACTTGGTCCACTTGGTTTTTAGATTCTTGTCTCCCTGACCTATTGATCCCAGAAACAACTGACCATAAGAGATGTCTGTTAGTGGCCTGGCATTCTTCACCCCACTGCACACCCTACCTCCCAGCTGTGTGCAGTGGTGGCTAAGGGCAGGCTAAGAAAGGAAATACTTCAATCTTCTCCTTTCCTTGTTCTGTCCTGTAACCACCCCACTCTGCACACAGGTTCTGAGTCTTACACTCGGGGACCCCTTTGTAGGTTTTCTCCTAAATAAGCACCATGTTGCCCTAAATTAGGTCAGCCCTTTGTCTGTTTTCCTTCTATATATCTGTATTTATGTGAAGTAGCAATTTCAGCATTGACAGTTATATATATTAAAAAAAAATCAATCATCCCTGAAAACAGCTGATGACACTCTTTGTCTTAAAATATCACATATCTGTCTACCACACATCTCATTAGTATTTGAATTTCTGTTCTAGTTTAATAAATAGTGAAATTATATATACATTTCTATAAACATATTGAGCAATTATTTGAAAATAAATTTCTTCTAAAATTTTATTATCACAGATGTTTGATTTATATGCCTATTTTATATACATATACACTGGTGTTTTATACAACTTTCATGGGCAAAGCCTAAAGGCTGAAAGTGGTTATAGAAACCAGTGCGCTTTGATACATACATGGATATGTAAAGCAAAGGAACAGAAAGGATTCTGGGAAACTTCACTATTCAGTTAGACAATTTCTCATGGCCTACTTGCTAAACATTATTAACTACCAAAAAGTCAAAGTAAGAGGGTGTTTGATACCAAGGTATACTAAAAACCTCACTGCCACCAGCTTACCAGAGATTGTGCTCTTACCTCAAGTATTTCCATATCAATTGTAATGAATAATTTGGTATGTTTTCTTAGAGAAATATGTAAATTACTGTGTAATCACAATATTGCAGCAAACAAGATAAATGCAAGAATGATCACCTAAACATCTAATTAGTTTTTCTACAGTCAGATTTATGCTAGAGACACTAATTGCGCCTAACATTTTAATGAAGGTTTCAACACTGCATAAATAAGACTGACAAACTACAAACAATTTTCATTTATTTTCCTTTTTCCCTTGCTCAAGAACAATTTGCCTTTGTAAAAGTAGCAAACACCTGCTAGGTAAGATATGTTGATGGGCTCAGTGATCTCCATTTATAGAGAGGATGGGAATACAATAGACGATGGGCTTGGAAGAGGGCTCAGTGTTAGGGCAAGGCTTCAAAGTTTTAAAGTTTTTATTTTTGAATGGGACAACTGAGGTATTAAAATATACTTTCATACATTAGAGTTTGACATTAAATTGAAGATGAAAAGGGAGATTCACAAAATATAATATATTTCAGCAAATGATTCTATCTTGTTTTGAAATGACTGAGTTTGAAATATTTGGGTTACAGTAGCTTAAACAAAGAGCTCTGTGGAGACCAATTAGGGAAGCCTGGCATTCCTAGCTACTCATAATGTAAAAGAAGACAGCCACATGGGCAGGCCAGTGTGTGGCTAAGGGATCAGCTCTCAGGAAGGAAGGGCCACCCACCCCAGGGAGGTGAGTCCACCTTAAACCATAATAAAAGCAGAGGTGAATAATTAACCATTTAATTAGAGACTGTACTTTTCCTTCCCAAAATTCCCTCTCCCTAACACTATGAGGCTGCTTGTCTACCACTTGCCTGACCTCCAGGGTGGCTTAACTCAAACATCAAGGTGTTCTTCCTTCTCTTTTTTATTCCTTTCCACAGAGGAGCTGCTGAGGTTTACAGCTTGTCTGCCTTGGGGTTTTTCTTCCAAACTCTAATAAAACTGTTTCCAGCTTTCAATTTGTGTCCATTCTTAAATCCTTTTTGTTAATGAAATCTATGAACCACAACAAGGAACCCTAATTTTCTTGGTAACAGGTAACAACAGTGGTAGGACTCCTCAAAATTTTCAGTAAATTTTATGATTATTAAGGGTGCCAACCTGGTTGGTCAGGAGCCTGGGGTTCTGGAGTGCTGGAGTTCACTGGCTCTGTCCATGGCTGAGTGATGCTGTTGAGGGTGGTGGCTAATTCCTCTTCATTCCTGTTATTTCCTGAGGCACTGCCTTTATTGGAAGAGATATTTCCACTGTATTATTCTATTGATATTTATAAAAAGTTGTTTTTGAAGATATTAATGTTGTGTTTTTTCATTTAATTATTTAAAAGCAAATGAGAAGTATTATAGTTCATGTGAATTTTCTTAAAATAGTTGAATGTTTTAATATGATCTCTGTTACATTTTTGTAGAGCTTTACCTTAAAAGGCTTTGGTATCTATACAAGGACATTTTAGATTAAATTTTACAGTATGTAATAAAAAGAATTCCCAAACTCACATAATTTTAAAGGTGTCTTATATTTTTTTCTTGGATTTCATAACAGAACTAAATTGTAATTCTTTTAACACAAGCCCCTTTCTTCATCTCCCTCAGAAGGTGGATGTGGGCTTTACTGAAGAAGTATACCCCATCTTGATAAGAATAATGTAAGACCTAGAGGACTGAATCTTAAGAGTTTGGGAAATTGTGCTAACAGATTTATTACTGACACCCTTGGGCTGGATTCAAGATATATATATATATATATATATATATATATATATATATATATATATGTGTGTGTGTGTGTGTGTGTGTGTGTGTGTGTGTGTGTACATACATATGTATGCCTCAAATCCCTTCTTTAAAGGAATAGACTAATATACAGATAAAAAATCTACATAACCATGCCTCAAATCCAATCTTTAAAGGGATAGCTGCGGCAGTCATTTACATTTATCTCATGCTTAAGTGTGGCAATGTTTATGTTAGAAACTGCATCATATCATAAGCAAAGACTCTAAAGGGAGACACAGAAGTGTAACAAGAGTTCTGAAAAAGCCTGCTTTGAAAGAAAAGATAAATTAAATATGAAAAACAATAATAAAGTTCGATTTGGGTAAAGACTTTAGGCAGAAATTTCCTCTATCACTTTTGGGTCTCTTTTAGGAAAAACAGTAGCAGTAATTTAAGCTTTCTTTAGCCCTGAGAAAGGGAGGGGTTTCTGCATTTCTGAGCTGCTGTCTATTGAATCCAGCTTGTCTCTGTTAGGGCAGACTCTAGAGGAATACTTTCACAGAAAATTTGATTTCCATAATCCCCACAGAACAGACATTTATACTTTAAATGAATTGGCTCATAATCCTTTGAAATTACAACCTGCAGAGAGATGGCACTGTCCTGAATAATGCACAGCTCTGAGATAGTATCACACATTGTCATACCACAGGGCGCCTCGGTCTTTTCTCCACCGGTGCTCTTCAAGCAAGCTCTCCCGTTGCTGCTCTGACCTGCTGATGGTTGTTGAGGGGGATGTGGGTATAGAACAGGTAGACAGGTTGGTAAGTTTCCATACCAGAGAACAAAAGCCAGAAAAGAAAGTACTATATTTGTTCAAATAATACAATAAATACATTTATCACTATGAGAATATTCATTTTAACATAATTTGAGGCCATATAAAAGGCACAACTTAGTCCTTTACAGAAAATAGGTGTTAATTCCTATTTCAACATTGGAATGTCTATGTGAGTGATAAATTTCATCCAAAGAATAGAGGGCTACAAGAAGTGTAGTTGCTGTTATTCATACAACATGCTATATTAAAAAGTATAAAACATGAAATTGACAGAGACACACTTTTCTTATAAAGAGAAAGTACAGCAGAATAAGGAGTGTTCTAAAGATGTATGGTCAGCTGAGATCAAACCTGGAGGATTCTAAAGATAATTTGATACTTAAGTAATAATCATAATAGCAGCTAATATTCATTAAATCCTTTATTTCTTAGATCAATAACGTGCATTTCCTGGTTTTTAATCATTTTGAGGAATCTCCCTTTGGTACGTGCTTGACTTGCTTTATAGAGGAGGAGGCTGAGGCTCCAAGGGTGAAGAACTCTGAACCAGGCTTCACAGACAATCACTGGCAAAACCAGGACTACAATAAACATATCTCATGTTTCTATTCCCAGGGACGATATTATCTGTAGTGGTCAGCATTCATTTCTAACTCAAGTAAAATTAATTCTTCCTTTCCTTATTCAGAGCAAGAAGGGCAAAAAGTTACAAAACAATTCAGATTTGGGTTCTGGTCTCCATTTTTCTAATAGATACAAGTTACAAATCACTTTACTTCTCTGCTAGACATGTGCTCTTAATCTGAAATGGGACAAAAGTCTTTCTACAGAGTCATTTTTTTTTTTTACATCAATGAGAGAAAATGAAGAGCACAGAAAATAAAGTTTCTACAAATAGAAACTGAAATTACAGTAAGAAAACTTAAAAATGGAATTTTCAAAATAAAATGATAATGAGATGCTATTTAACTTTGGCATCTTTATCAGAAATTAAAACTAGAACAGTATAGTTATTTGAAATAACAGAATAAACAAAAGAACAGAGCAGATAAAAAGTGCATGCATAATCCTTCCAAATGTATTTCACTACCCACCACCTGATTCAATGTTAAATGGCCCTTTTCTGGACTTAGTCCTGTCTTGAATATTGTTTGATTGACTCAATAAGGATACCTCTCACTATTTTCCACTGACTCTTACTTTCTAGGTGATTTTTCCTTACCAGAAGTAGGCCTGGTCTGCTTCACTTGGTAGATATTCCCTTTTTCTCCTTGCTGCTCAGACTCAGGTATCAGCAAGGCCGACACTTGTGTTGTGTTAACATGCTTCTCTAGTGAGGGCTGCTGGCACAATTGGCTATTTTTGCTCCCAACGGATCTTACTGTCTGTAAGGAAAAATAATTAATATGCATGTTTAAAAAGAAAGGAATTACATTTAATCTTTATAAAATCTATATAGGAAAAGACTTAGACAAGTAAGTGAGAAAAAGCCAGAGTAACTGTAGCTAAAAAGTGACAGGAAGGGAAATTAGAGAAAATAAGAATTGGAAGGAGAAAAAGAACATGAGATGGGATGTAGGCAAGCAGGACTCCTAGACACAAAAATTAAAAGGTCCTATGCGCTACGCCTGCGTGAAATAGAGAGTAGATTCCCCTATATGTCAAGTATTTAAGGAAGTTAAAAATAAAGAGCAGACCATTGGGAATCTGCATTGTATGGGTACTTGTCTGCATCCAACATTCTTTTGACAGAGAAGGCAAAATACATTCATATATACTTGCTTTTAAGCAACATGTTTAATAAAAAGTATATTTAATTATGTTGACATGACAGAAGAGAACCAATTTTGAAGCCTTTTAATATCTAAAATTCCTGTTGCAAATCTACTTTAGGCACACAGTCAGCTCTCCCCTTCCTTCCCAAAGCCCACATGTCACCATCTCCTGCCCTTGCTCGGGTAAGCTCTTCAAACTTTTCACCCACCTCACTAGAGAGCCTCAGGTTATTCCGTCTGCCAGAGAGTGGAGGTGGTCCAAGGACCCTGGACCCGAAGGCAATATGGCAGACATCCTGACTTTTACTGTTCCGGATGCTGCTTCCCCCTCTGTTGATGAACTGGTCTGTTTGTTAGAGAAAGTCAATCTATTAATGGGTGAAGTAACAAACATCATGTTACCACACTTCTCAAAGTAGAGTTCCGATGTCACAGGGTTTGATTTAACTCCTACTCAAAATGAAATAGTGTCAGATGCACAGACTCTATGTTTCTGATAAGGCACAAGAACAGAGGGTTATAAGCTGGGAGGGAGCTGGCACTCCTTACATTCCACTTACCAAGCACAGCCCTGCAGAGAGCTCAAAGAAGTAAATCAGCTGTGTGCCAAGAAGGGAAAGAGAAAGGAAGCACCTGCCACTCTGGAAGTGAGCCGTTTGTTTACTTTCTGCTTAAAATCCACAGGGTTGCCCACATGTAGAACTTGTTTTTAGCATTTTAAGATCACCATGAGATTCTGGCCTCTCCTTCCACAGGGTCTGGTCTCTACTAACTTTCTGAGCTTGTCTGCCATTCCCTGCCCCCATCCTGACTCGGGCACTTCCTTTCGGTAGGATATCCTACACTTGTCATTCCTCAATTATCCAAGTTACTTTACAAGCATCTGCTTCATTCCCACTGCTCTGTGAACAGTCTGTGTCGAATCATACCACTAGACTGCCCACACTGTATTCACCATTTGCGTGACTGAGAATCTCTAGGAAAATGCTTGAGAAAGCACATTTCAGTATTTATTTACTGGTGGTGAATAATTTTATTTAAATTATTTAAATACTCACTCAAATATTGGTGAGTACACAATCACCCTAGGTTCTCTTGTGACTGCTCCAGCACTCATACCGTCCTTTCTCCAAAACGCAGCCAAGCTCTTACAGAAAGGGAAGTATACTGTCTCCTTCATGCCACTTCACTTAGACTCCTCTATGGCTATGGCTTCCCTGTCACATCGCTCTTAGCCCTTATCCCTGTGAACACCTGCCTCGACACTTCCTACTCTTTCTACACTCCGCCTTTCCCAATTCTTCCCAAAGCATTGTTGCATGTTATCCCTAGGATAAGGAGGCACGTCCCGACTCTTTGTCTTTTCTTCAGTCTTTTCTCTGGGTCTTCCTCAGCAGAGAACCTGCTGAAAATTCACCTTTCCTGATGAGGTTAACAGTATCAGGCATGAATTCACTATTGAGTGAACCTTAAATGCAACAAGAAAGCTGATGGTTATCCCTAAAATATGTACCCCTACTTTACTGTTAGGGCTATCTTGCTGGGCTAGTCATTATGCTTCATAGGCTGGGCAGCCAGGCAGGACTAACTTTCTCTATGGAAAGCTTTCATAGCATCTTCTGATACCTTGAGACCTAGTCATCAGGAGGAAGCTTTCAAGTGAGTTCTAGCTTGAATCTTCCAAGTCCTGTGTCTAAAGAGTGTGGCACCTGAAGTAACGAGCCTTTGCTTTCTAGGTGGCAATCAAGGGCAATAGACAGACGGTCTTGTTCTCTTGGACTCTCCCATAACTGATGACTCCAAAGAAGGTTTCTCATGCCTACTACTGGGTATTTTGTTAGACAGTGTCTGGATCATGTTGCAGGAATTATTATCTCAAGTGCTGCAACTTCACTTGAACTGAGTGTACACACACACACACACACACACACACACACACACACACACACACAGAGAGAGAGAGAGAGAGAGAGAGAGAGAGAGAGAGAGAGAGAGAGAGAGAGAGAAACATACATACTATGTTTTAAAGTATGCTTTTGGAATAACATTCTTCAGTGGATTTTCTAAGTATCATTAATGTTATTATCTCTTCTCTCTTTCTCTCCCTTTTTATATTAACATCTCTCCCTGCTCCCAGTTAAAGTGATACCCCTTTCTCACTTTCTTCTTCTGTGTACCCTTGTTCTTAAAGGAGTCTTCTACTCAATGATGAACATGTAGTGATTACTAAAGATGCAGCTCAACCTGAAAAGTTGTCATCTCAAATCACAGAAAACTAATGTTATGGGGAGCCCACCAGAGGGGACCACTCACACACAGTTTATAGCCATTTGAAAGTTTGTATTCCAGCTAGCTGGGCCACACCCAAGTGTTATGGGGGGGGCCTAGGTGTCAGGAGACCCTAAGTTTTTAGAATGGGGCCTTTAAAGGCAGAAACCATGTCCTAGCATCTTGTTTGGCAGCTGGGGGTGGGACCTTCCCAGAAGTATGTAGTTTGAAGCAAGCAGTTTTACAGAAGCTAAGACAAGTAGTTAGCTGGAGGGCGTTCTGTACAAACAGGCAATTTAACACAAGCTGACAAAGTTAGCTAGGACATCCTGACCTTCAGTTCCTAGAATAGAGCTGGGTAGTTTTCCATGGGATTCTCCATCAAGGAAATAAAATTCCAGTTAAACCTGAAATGGTCTCAGCAAGAATACAAAATGGGTGAACCTCTGCACTGTCTTGCCCTGTTACACTAGATAATATTCTGGACCTTAAAAGACCTATTGTAAAGATTCATCATAGAATAATGTACCACAGTATATTTAAATTTAAGAATATTTTTAAAGTTAATTTTTAGCTATAAATAATACAAATATTCCATTATTTAAAATATCTTTAAGCTTGATACCACAATGAGCATATCAGTTGTGTAAATCCTTTTTTGTCTTAACAATTTACTGCTTATAATCATATTAACTGTCACAGATAATTCCCTTTAGGGTGCATTATGTTACATATTGTTAGCATAGGTTCATAATTTAGACCTCCAAGGCAAAGTAATTTACAATTTGGGTATCTAAAATAAAAAGAAGGGACAAAATTTCTTTATCAAAAAAATTCTTAATAGAAGGAAACCATAAACAGAAATGTATGTGCTTTGAATTTTAAAAGTATCTATTTTAACAGCTGATATCAATCTGCATAAAATAAGGTTAAATATCAAGATTAGATTAAAATCATGCTTGAGGCGTTTCATTTTCTTGAGTTTGTGGAAAGTGAACTTGGTGTAAGTCAGGGATTTACCATTAATTATTTTGCTGTTTTACTGATGGGTGCATGCCTTTGTAGTTAGATTGTAAAACCTGAGGGTACACTCTCTAATCGTCTTTTAGAACAAATAAACATTTTTTTTTTGTCTCAAGATACAGTGCTCTAATTATTATAGTCGTTTAAGCTTGCAAGGTTTTCAAAGCTTAAGCAAGCAGATCAGCTCTCACACTGAGGGGCCAGACCCACACTTTCTTCTACCACTTCACAATCAACTCAGAATGAGACGTGGAACCAGGCTCTGGATTTTGTGTTAATTTTTATTTTAGTACATACTGTTGTTCTGTAGCATGTATAAAACACGAGCAAAGGTTGACTCTATTATGGCAATATTATTTTGGAGAAGGCACCTGACATTTCTAACCTTTATGTCTTTATTCATAAAATTGGAATAACAATGTACTTAATTCATGACATTTTCTGTTAAGATTATATGAAACTAGACATGTCCCACACCCTTATGTTGTGTCTTAGAGGGAATAGATGCTTAGTAAACAGATTGCTAGTACCTTTGAATAGTATTCAAAGCTTACAAGATCTATTTACTGTCATTTCTTCATTCATTCTTTAGTAGCGAATAGGTGCTTAACCCATTTGGCATTGAGTGGGAATAAGATGGAACACAATCTCATTTAATAAGCTTATTACAGTCTCATGGGAGGGACATATAGGTTTAAGCAAGAAATTAATAAACACTTCAATGATTATGATTATAATAAGGGGCTACAAAGGAAAAGTATAGTGTTCTAACTGTGCTCAATGGGGTTGGTATACAATCTCTGGGGTCAAGGGAATCCTTTGACACCCAAAGGCCGATAGATGTCACAGATATCTACAGTTCTCAGTCCTTCTCTGTGTGTGATGCTCCCTCCATAGAAGAAGAAACTATCTCACAGTTTTAGTGGGGGCTCAAAAACCAAGTTTCTATTCATTTGTCCCCTCCTTTTTTAAATTACACATGATGCTACCCTCATTTAACAGTGGATCAGTTACACCTATCTAACTAAAAGTATTTATTATCTCAAAAATGGATGGTTAATTGGTTAATGATAATATTGATAGGCACCAAAAATTCATGAATATTATAATCCAATGAGTGTCAAGGGGATTAATGAGGTTTATGAGGAACTAAGCAGCTAACATATGGCTTTAATGTCCTATTTCAAAGGGAGAAAAGTTGGGGGAGAGATTAAGAGGACAAACTGAAGTGACTTGAAAGCCTGCAAGTAAGGCATTCCAAAAGGTACTTGTAGGATGTGGGGTAACCAGATAATTTGAGAGTTTATGCCCAGTGCGAAGTATTCAACCAATGCTGTTTTTAGTTGTTGGATAACTGCCAGTCTACAAGCCATGGAAGTATGATGAAAAGAAAAGCAGATAGGTAAATGCCTCAAGCAGGAAAGGTCCTGGGAGATTCCAATCTAACTTCAACTTTTGAAAATAATTAAAACTAGTATGTAGTCTTAACTCATGAATACAAAAAGTTTATGACACTTTTGAAAGGCAATAACATAATATTAAAAACTACAATTAGATTTATCTTTCTGTGCTGAACTGGGGTAGGACCTTAGGCAGTTTGTGTGTGAAGCTGGGCCAGTTCTGCAAGATACAAGGCAGTGTGCAGGATACTGGTTTTCTCCACAAGGCAAGAACTAGCCTAGTTTTTGTTCCATTGTTTAATGAAGAATAAAACTAATTTTAAGCTTTACTCTGAGAAAGCTTTCCATTTTGTTAAGGAACAGTTTATTTGATCCAGGATTTGCATTGGAACTAGGGCATTTTCCCATAAAGCCAGCAAGCTTTTGGGAGATAGTTTTCAATTTAGTTTTAGTGCTTGAACCATAGTGACACTTCACTAAATGTTAGCTTCGATTATGACCAAGATGAATTATTTGCAAACGTCCATAGTGTTTAAATCATTTTGTTAGCATTAGTTCATTCATTCATTTGATCATTTAGTCAACAAGCATTTCCTGTGCTCCTTGTAAGTAGTAAGGTACTAAGTACTAAGTTAGGTGGTAGGGAATACAACCA